TGCCCAGGCAGGTCTCGAACCCACGGGCTCAGGCAATCCACTCACTTCAGCCTCCCAAAGTGCTGGGATTACAGGCTGAGCCACCGAGCCCGGCTGGCACTATTTATTTTAACTTAAGTATTGAATAAGGAAGCAGCTTTCCCCTTAAGTATAGACAGAAAAAACAACAAAGCCACCACACTATATGTCTAGACTAATCCTAGTAGTAATGTCAGAACACCTAGCTCTCTAACTTTTGCTGTAATAATTATACCTGTGGTCGGACTCGGTGGCTCAGCCTGTAATCCCCGGGCTGCAAATGGCGCCCGCCCGCCCCTGCACCTCCCGCCATGTTCAGGGCCGGGGAGGCCCCAATCATTAGCAGATTTGGGGGTTTTATTTATGTATAAACTAGAACTGCCACATGATATTTTTCTTCCCATTATAATTAATTAATATGAACTAGACTTTGTGAATGATTACTGTATCTTAGGCATAGTTGTTTTATTTAATCTTTATAACACTCAGGTTAGCTACTGTTATCCCCATTTCACAGATGAGCAAACAGACACTTGAAATGACTTCCCTGGCCACATAGTACATTGCGGACTCTGTGCAACCTATGAACCCCCCAGCTCTCAGCTCCCAGCAGCTCCTTTTGCCCTTTCCTCCCCATGGAGTCTTGTCCTCCACATGTGCGGTTTAGGATCATGGCGAGGACCTAAGTGCAAGTCCTACACACATTTCTGAAGCTGCTCTTCAAATCCCTCCTCTTCAAACCCGGCATCCTCCAATTCCAGCGGCTTCGTCCCAAGGCCTGAACTCCAGTCTCTGTTTCTTCCATTCAGAAAGACCAAAGAATCCCAGGAGGGCTTCCTCTTCCGTGCTGCAGTTTGGAAATTGTGTCCAGCCAGGAAGGGTGAATGCGTGGGCTTCCTCTCTCCAGGCTCAGTCCATTCATTGCCCAGTGCCGAAAACTGCTTTCTCAGATATTGGGCCCGGTTTTATAGCCTAGGGCAGGAAAACAAGTCCAATACGAGCTATTTCCCCGCCTTTTCTTTTTCAGACTGAGTCTCTGTTGCCCAGGCTGGTGACTGTGCAGTAGCACAAACACAGCTCACCGCCGCCTCGCCCTGCTGGGCTCAGGCAATCCTTCCGCCTCAGCCTCCCACATAGCTGGGACTACAGGCGCATGTACTGGCTTATTTTTGTATTTTTGTGTAGAGACAAGGTCTTGCCATGTGGCCTAGGCTGGTCTCGAACCTCTCGGCTCAAGCAATCCTCATGCCTCAGCCTCCCAAAGTGCTGGGATTACAGACTTGAGCCACCATGCGCGGCATATTCCCCCATTTCATAATCTCATAAGAGTAGACATTGCACAAATCTTAGGCAAGAGGCCTAGAAGTCATATTTTCACTTTTTTTTTCAGTTGGAGTCTCACTGTGTCGCCCAGGCTGGAGTGTGTGGCACACTCGCAGCCACTGCAGCCTCGACCTGCTGGGTTCAGGTGTTCAGGCGATCCGTCTGCCTCAGCCTTCCGAGTCGTGGGAACTAGAGGCATGCAAAACCACGCTGGGCCTCCCACTTTTTTTTTTTTGAGACTTGAATATCCCACTTTTTTTTAAAAAAGAGGTGGGGTACAATTCAGAATTAGGTATACAGGTGGTAACGTTTGGGCCTCCCTTTGATCCCCACTTTGCCTGGTTTGAAATCAGGTGCCCTGATAGAGGTTGTGACCCCGCCCCCGCCCTGGCAGTATCCCATCACTGCCAATCCCTTTCTAATAGTATTATGGTAATTTTCCAGGGTCCGCTTATGAGTGAGATAGTCCCACTTTTCAAGACTAGTTTTTTTTTTTTTGAGTTGACGTCTCACTCTGTCACCCAGGCTGGAGGACAGTGGCACGCTCCTGGGCACTGCAGCCTCGACCTGCTGGGCTCAGGTGATCCTTCCGCCTCAGCCTTCCAAGGAGCTGGAACTATAGGCACATGCCACCACGCCTGGCTGATTTTTTGATTTATTGTAGAAACAAGGTCTGAACATTGTAGAGATGGGGTCTCACCAAGTTGCCCAGGCTGGTCTCGAACCCTTGGGCTCAGGTAATCCTCTCACCTTGGCCACCCAACATGCTGAGATTATAGATGTGAGCCACTGCACCCGGCCTAAGACTAGTTCGTTTTAATAAATGTTTAACCATTTTCTCCATGCAGGATGGCGCCGTTTGTTGCATCACCTTTCCCATTTTGAAATAATTTTCAGTTCTTGCACGTGTTTCGAAAGATTAGTCTATTGTGATGATTTTTTTTTTTTTTTTTTTTTTTG